ATCAGAAACAAGCTACATAATCTGGGTGACCGTTAACCTCGCCAATGGTTTTGATCAGTATTTGTTCAAAAAAAATTTGAGTTAACGTACGTAGCCCCTTGAGATCGATGATATGGTAATTTTTTCATAGTATATTGACTGAATTGCTGAATTCTTTGTAATATCATGATGCGTTAAAAATATCCGATGATCGCTTATGTAAAATAAAAATGATCGGCGAAATTCGTCAAAATTTTACCGAGGCGAGTGCCTCGGTTGGCCTCATACTAGCTACGGCGCTGGCTAGGTAAGATAGAAAAAGTGGAAAAACTGAGACTGGCTGTTTTCCACAATTTTCTAATTCCGTCACCAACACTAGCAAAGATCAATTTTATTTTCTCGGAATAGCCTGTGTATGGATAAGCTTTCTAAGCTAAGCCCGTTGTTCTCATGCCTTGAAAGCCTTATTTTACAATTTCAATAACTGTAAATACTGGCCCAAGTTTGAAGTGCCAAGCAACTGAAATTGATCCGAACCACGCTATGTTAATACATATACGCATTACACTGGATTGTACTCAACAGTTAAAATTAGTGGAAAGGATGTTTTTAGCTTAAGATGGCGAAATAAAATTTTCCTTGTTTGAGCTAACTGCTGAAATAAAACTGATAATTTAATGGCATAAATTTAGTGAGAGTTTTTGATTACAAAAAAATCATTTTTTTTTATTTCAAAATGTACAAGACTTGGGTAGGTACTACATAAATCTCCAAGAATTGTAACTAAAAAAACTTCATACTACCAAAATTTCCAAGCATCGAAATATGATATTAGGCAGCAGTTTGAAGCTACCTAAGGTTAATGTAAGGCATTTAGACCTTTTTTCATTAAGCATTTCGTCACGGCTATTGAAAATATAAGCTATGAAATATATTTTCGTTTTATTTGAAATGAAACATACAGAATTTTTTACTTCTCACGGAGTTTGTTTGCTAAACATCACACTTCACGTTCCTGGAGTCGTATTTTCAATGGCAGGTCAAGATGGCGCAAAATTCGGATTTTATCGATTTCAAAATGTTTTGTTTATTGTTGTCATAGTGATATCGATTTTACTAACAACTGCATTTTGACAAACTTCAATTCATAGTCAATCACTAGTGAAACTTTTGTAGCGATCAGACGAGGATAAAATGACTTGTAAGGCGATTGAAAAACATCCGTATGGTCTCCCAAAAACTGTATCGAAACACCTAAAGAAGACATATGTATTAAATTCTACAAACAGAATACTGCAATGCTGATCGTACTACGTGAAAATTAACTTTGCAAGACATCAACACGAGATAAAAAGGAACTCAAAACAGAGCGGAATTGTAGTCATAGACAGCTGTTTTGCTATTATTGTAGCTCATCAGTATGGCGTAACAAACAGAGAAGCTCTGCCCTCGCACTCTTTACTTTAACTTTTGGACTGAAATTTCCACTTAGCGACGGATTATTAGAAAAGTTATGGGAGAAGTGGGGAATTTTCGAGCCGGATAAATTGTTTTCGGTAAACATTTACCTTGCATGGTTTTATTTTTTGCCAGTAGCATGAATGTTTTAGGGTTAATTTGTGTTCATTGATTTTCTTCCATTTAATTTCATTTCCCTCGCCCGAATATATTTTTTTAGTATATACGAAAACAGTGGATAGTGTTTTTCGCGCACTCTGACTGGCTACTCAATCAGTGAATATCCTGCACTATTCACTGATTCACCTCCAGTTCTTCCGAGCGAGCGACGCCAAACTAGCGTAGGTTGTGAGCAAAATGCTTTCCTGGTTTGCTGCCGTAACAAACTAAGAAATTTCACAACTAATCAACAAGCTATTTTCGAAATACATAGAGAAGGTGACGAAGTTCGGTTTGGAAGTTTTAACAGGTAAAGCTTTGTCTTTTTGACTTGAATAGTTATCGATAAAACCGGTGAAAAAGTTTTTTGTTTACAAATGCAAATTAAGCTTAAGTCTTGCGTTANGCTATTATTGTAGCTCATCAGTATGGCGTAACAAACAGAGAAGCTCTGCCCTCGCACTCTTTACTTTAACTTTTGGACTGAAATTTCCACTTAGCGACGGATTATTAGAAAAGTTATGGGAGAAGTGGGGAATTTTCGAGCCGGATAAATTGTTTTCGGTAAACATTTACCTTGCATGGTTTTATTTTTTGCCAGTAGCATGAATGTTTTAGGGTTAATTTGTGTTCATTGATTTTCTTCCATTTAATTTCATTTCCCTCGCCCGAATATATTTTTTTAGTATATACGAAAACAGTGGATAGTGTTTTTCGCGCACTCTGACTGGCTACTCAATCAGTGAATATCCTGCACTATTCACTGATTCACCTCCAGTTCTTCCGAGCGAGCGACGCCAAACTAGCGTAGGTTGTGAGCAAAATGCTTTCCTGGTTTGCTGCCGTAACAAACTAAGAAATTTCACAACTAATCAACAAGCTATTTTCGAAATACATAGAGAAGGTGACGAAGTTCGGTTTGGAAGTTTTAACAGGTAAAGCTTTGTCTTTTTGACTTGAATAGTTATCGATAAAACCGGTGAAAAAGTTTTTTGTTTACAAATGCAAATTAAGCTTAAGTCTTGCGTTACTTTATTTAGTTGACTAATGTTCATAAATAAGCTTAAAACTAAATTTAATTATTTTTTTTACAGAATTATTTTAAATGCAAACAGAATTCACAACTCCTTTTGAAGGAACTTCCCGCAAGAGCTAAACAAACGCCTTCAAAAGTTTTATTTGTCGCCAAGAAAAAGCGACGACCGCGGCCGTTCGGTCACCGCGCGCCAAAATTGTAATCGTTGGCAACAGTAAATGAGTTAAAAATCATCATTTTCGTGCTCAATTATCTCACTGTTTTAGTATATACTAAAACAATTATTCACCTCAGTGTCGGTGGTTAGTAGTGGGTATTTACCTCGCCGCTTCGCGGCCTCGGTAAATATCTAATACTAGTCATCTCCACTTCGGTGAATAATTGTTATTTGTACAGTGGAACCCCCCGGCCTAACCACCACCCGTTTTTACTATCACCTCGTTATAACGACCACAATCTTTCGACCCAAACGTAAAAACCACTGAGTCATTTTATCATTTTGAATTAAAGACCCCGGTAATGCTACCACCTCGTTATTACGACCAGGATTTTATGGCCCAACGGTCGGGTGACATTAATTAACGGGGTCCCACTGTTCTTTGGCCTCCCGCGCATACGTTTTTTCTAATAGTCCGTCGAATGCTCCTCTTAAGTATAACCGTCAACCGTCAAAGCTACCACCCCATTTTGACCCTCTATTGGTGAAAAATCTTTTCGTTAGAGAGTGGCCATTTCTTAGCACTCTTTTCATACTCAGTACGCAAGGCAAAGGCTCTGAGTAATAAACTGAGCCTGCGATTTAACGCCCTTTTTTGTCAGCCAGAAGACTCTACGTAACCTGGTCTCGTCCCCAGGGTCTTCTCGTTGAAAACGAGAAGACCCTGGGGACTCGGTTGGACTCGAGGTATGATGCAACTAGAACTAGAAAGCCAAACGAGCAAGCATTCGGCACCTCACATTCTTAACAGTAACTAGTCATGTCCGTCCACGCAAACTCAGACGGTTATTGGCAAAAAACAGGTAAAGGCACAGTCAGAGAAAGATGTCGGGCTATCTTTAACCAAGAACTTTTGAGCGATGTGAAGTTCGCTGTTTGCAATTTCCAAGGCGGAAGTGAAAGCAAGACTATTCCAGCTCACAAGTTCGTGTTAGCCATCAGCAGTCCAGTGTTTTATGCCATGTTTTACGGTGAATTGGCGGAGACCAAAGATGTTGTCGAGATCACTGATTGTGATTATGAGGGCCTGTTGGAGTGTCTGCGTTTCATTTACAGTGATGAAGCAAAGTTGACCGCTGACAATGTCCTGCAATTGATGTATTTGGCGAAGAAATACATGCTGCCTTCGCTCGTTGACAAATGCTCTGTCTACCTCCAAGATAATCTGGATGCCTCTAACGTGTTTAACGTATTACCAGCAGCTCAGAAGTATGAAGAAGTGGATTTGTTGCATCATTGCTGGAAAGTGATCGAAAAAGAAACGGAGGAAGCTGTGAAATCGGATGGTTTCGTGGCAATTACTTGAGGAATTAGTGGCTAATGATTTGCTGAATATCAAGGAAATAGAATTATTCAAAGCTGTTGACCACTGGGCCGTGAAGGAATGCGAGAAACAAGGCCTCGTAGCTGAGGGATCCGTAAAAAGGAGAATTCTCGGGGAATTGATCATTCAGAAAATTCACTTGCCTGCGATGGAACAAAAGGAGTTTGCAGATGTCGTCCTCGACTCTGACTTGCTTACTCTCAAAGAAGTGAAAGATATGGTGAAATATTTCAACTCTGTACTGAACACTACCGTTGGATTTGTAGAGTCAAAGCGAGGTTCCCTTCTTAAAAGGCAGGTCTCTAGGTTTAAATCGGTGGTTTTCAATAATGGCTGGAAGCATTCTTCTAAATGTTATGATTGGATATATCTTGCTGTAGACACAAGCATAAAGCTGCATGCGGTGCGATTTTTTGGCAGCTATAACGCAGAATATGTAGCGAGCCTAACCATAACGGCCATGGAAGAAGTTATCTTTGATGGTAACCTAAGGAATTATAGTAGTAACGTGAAGGAGGGTGAACTAGGTGAATATCACGGCTTCGAGATTGCATTAAAGCCTCCGATCGCTCTAAAAGCAAGTATGAAGTACTTGTTTAAGGCGGACATACGTGGGCCATCAAGCTGGTATGGGCAGGGTGGACAGCCCATTGTAAATAATTCTAAGGTGAAATTTCATTTTTCCAGTTATAAAAATGCGACTTGTGTCGAGGAAGGACAGTTCGCCGAATTCCTGTTTTCACTTCACTGAAATTGCTTTTTCCGAGGAAAGAGAACTGACACAAAAACCTCTCAGGACATTTCTTGTAAGATCTTGCAACTTTTGTTAGTGTAACGATCACGTTCGATCGTTCTTATCCAGACTTCTAGCAGTCTCTAAAGGGCTTAGTATTCACATGATGCCGGAATGATCATGACTTTCATTCTGGAACGAATTCATTCAATCTCTCGTGTAAGTCATCATTCCGGTTTTCAATCCGAATGAAATTCTTTTCTGGTATGAAATATCATTTTGGTTTCATGTACACCGAAAACGAACTTTGTTCTGGATTGAAAATCGTAAACCGTGTTTTAAAACCTTGCAGTCTGGGACGTGTGGTGCATGTGTATCTGATCTGGCGCGAGCGAGAACACATTGTTTTAAAACTGAGAAACTCAAGAGGAATAACATTAGACAATTTAAACAAAGGTACAGCGTGGAATCTAAAGAGTTTGATATGAATATATGAATCAATCGAAGGGCACGTTTTTGAAGAATCAAAATTATCTCCAAATTTGTAGGCGCAGCTTGGCCCCAGACGACTATATATACCATAGGACAAGTAAGGTTGTACAAGAGAACGATATATGCTTAATAAAGTGGAAGAAGGGACAAAATGCTTTAGTCTTGCAAGGATGCCTAATGATTTGCTGTTTTTGGTAGGAATATATGTGATATGATGCGTCCAAGATATCTTTGAAGCGGTAAGGACACCAAGGTATCTTACACATTCTTTCCTTTCGAAGGAATCATAGATTTTGATGTTAACGTCGTAATCGATACCCTTTTGATTGGTTCTGAAAATATCGAAATTAGATTTTTTAGCATTAAGAGATAACTTGTTTGCCACTGAGCCAGTTGCCTATACTCCTTGACTCCTCATTAACTGTGATTTCAAGTGATCTCAAGTTCTTATCAGCCGAAAGTAGATTAGTATCATCAGCAAATAAATAAAAACTTTTAAATTTGCCAGAAGAGTTACAGATATCATTTATGTCCAACAAGAACAATAATGGTCCTAAGGCTAGTCCTTGCGGAACACCACACAGACAGCGCTCTTTCTTAGAAACATGGGAGCCAACCTGAGTAGTTTGGTATTAATCGTTTAGGTAAGAGGAAAACCAGTTATTAAGGACTCCGATTGAGTGGTTGACTGTGTCAAGTGCTTTCTTTAAATCTATAAATATACCACAGGAGAAAAGCTTCTTGTCAATACTAAGCTAAATTCTATGAACAATATTTATCAACAAGAGCATATTGCAGAGTGGAACATTTTTCCCGGAGGCCATAATGAAAATCTCTGATTGGCCGATTAAAATGTATTTATCACTATAACTTTGCAAATGGAAAAACCGTGAGCATGAGACAGGCCGGTCATTAGTGTACACACCAATTTTATACGACTTAAAGCCGCTGAGAAAAATGTTTATCTCGATAAGTCACGAAACCACCCTTCAATGTCATTTTGTTCAAAAAATTTACCTTATTTTAAAAAGTCATTTCAATGCCTTTTTTAACAAGAGATTTAATACATACATGTCACTGAACTTTTCAAATTTGCATACAGCTGTGCTCATTCTGTGTGTCGTTATGACTAGTCGCGGCGCTTAAATGTTTTCTTTTTCGGCCTCCTTGAACAGTCCTTTCGAATTACTTTCTTCAGTAAATCATTGATCAAACTGTCAAGTGAAGAAAACAAAAAAAACTAGTTTGGAACGAGTAAATTGTAACAATGTGGGAGCAAGGCAAAATTCCCTGTCAGTACCGTAGCATGGGGAGGGGTCGGAGGGCCTGGGCCCCCCAATAATGTTGACAGGCACGTTTAATTTGGTCAGCAGCCACGCTCTTCATGCTGCTCTTCGGTTCAATGAGTTCATTTCGGTTCGATAAATTGTCAAATTATTTATTTGCGGCTTCAACAAAGAAAAATCGCTAGAAATTAATGCTCTATGAAGGCTGAAAATGCTATTTTCCCCCCCCCCCCCCCCCTCTAATAAATCTAACCTGGCTACGGCACTGCCTTGGGAGCTTCTCTTGGTCAAATTGACGCTAGCGCGATTAAACCGGAACCAGGATTTTTGATTCTTCCAGAGCGTCCGTTGCCCGTTCCCCTGGATACAGGATAACACAGGCTCTGGGGACGAAACCGCCTCAGGCTATGTTCAACTATACCTAGCTTTTCATGCCAACAGGAAAAGCTATCCGTTACAGTATGAACAACTATTTAATATGTGACTCTCCTCTTTAGAGACCGGCGCGGCGCAACTTCGCTCCGTTACACGGATATCGCGCCGAAATCACCGTTCTTGTCTGTGAACCGAGGCCCTATCTGGGTATGGTTTTCGTGCCAGCGTAAAAGTTGTCCGGGATAGTGAGATCATAACTTTAGGCTAAGCCGGTCATTTTTATCCTGTGAATGCCAGTTAACAAATTTCATTCTCGAAAGAAACTCATTCCTGGATCGGAAAGTCATTCTGGTATGATGTAAACAGGAAACAATTCTCTGCACTTAATCAGCAAACGATTGTCTCTTGTTGAGTTTATTGTACAGTCCACTCTCTCGTAAGCAACCACCCCTGGTGTACGACAAAGTGGTTGCTTAGGGGAGGAGTTCGTCTACGGGAAGGGTTAAGAACAAAAGCTCAGACTGCACTGATAAACTTAATCAAATTAATAAGTTATTACTTTACAAGCTAAAATTAGGCAAATAGACAACTAACCATGATGTTTCACATCAAATAGCACTTGGAACTGTTGAAACCTTTTACGCAACATTTTGCATCAATGTAACAATCCACTGTTTTACCTACAGATCGTATTATATTTACAGTCATCTTTCTTTGTAAGCAAACTGCTATAATCTGTCAGCACGCTTGGTTAGTGCCAAAAAAACTGAACTTCGAGCAATAGTTTCCTCCATAGTTTTCTTAAGTGATCATGCCGGATGGTCACTTACCGGAAGCAGAAAACAAAGGAAGTGGTCGCTTACGGGAGGTGGGTCTCTTATGACTGAAGTGGTCGCTATAAGAGAGTTTTTGACTATCGTTGGTTTTCGTCCTTGACCTGAGGATTTTCCCCGAGTACTTCGATTATTTTTCACTGGCTTCGGATACATGACTTGCCAGTAGAGCTAATTTGCTTACAATGATGATACGGTAGAGATCAAACAAAAAGATTTTAAAAGCTTCCCAATACATTTCCATCAAAAAGTATGTTCTAAAAAAAGTATATTAGTCTCAAAATTGTATGGAATCTATCAGTTAGATTCAAATGTTGCGTACATAACACTTTTCAGAAATAAAAGTTTTAAATTGGTTTTATAAAATTTCGGTCAAATGGCATCGTTCATGGGGTAGCCTTTGTTTTGCTCTCGTTATTGCCTGCTTTATATCGCTAAACGGTCCAAACTGGTACACTGCCCGAGTTACGTTTCTTCCGTCAAAGGGATCTTCGATGCGAATGTACGGGCGTGTCCATTTTTTGTCGAATGGTACAGCCCTGGTGCTGGCCTGACGAACAGATAGTACTCTATTCCAATTAAAGGTGGAATAATAATCAAAAAAGCCAACGAGGAGACTTCCAAGGGACTGTTGGTTTGATGATCTATACGAAGTAACGACTGATGGAAGGTAGCCGCTGACCAGCTTATCGGCTATAGNCTGACGAACAGATAGTACTCTATTCCAATTAAAGGTGGAATAATAATCAAAAAAGCCAACGAGGAGACTTCCAAGGGACTGTTGGTTTGATGATCTATACGAAGTAACGACTGATGGAAGGTAGCCGCTGACCAGCTTATCGGCTATAGTTTCGGCGCTTAACGATGTACTGAAATTGATCGGGTCGGCTGATTGTAGCGATGGAATGACCTGTGGACTGCAACCGGTTTGTAAATAGTAAATGACCAACAGCACCACGGCAAAGCCTAGAAAGGTAAAAGTAAACAAAACAAAACAAATAAAGTCAGTATTTCATGCCAATTGGATTCATCGGTTCCTCGTTCATCTCCCACTTGCAAAAAATCGACTCAAATCAAACTTCCCCTAGAAGAACGACAACAAAGGAACAGAGCCAACTTGCTGCATTACAGACGTTTATTCCGCAACGACGAGACCATCCCTGGTATCTGCTCGTCAATAGCTAGAGGTATCCCCTAAACTGACAGGTTCGCTTTACTCAAAACATGGAAAGATACTTTGTAACCTCCTGAGTTATTTCTCCCGCTAAATGCAGGGTGTCCGCCCTGCTTAATATACAGTTTTCTCAGACGATTTTTCCTAGTCCCCTTACGGGTTCTGAGGCCTTATGTCATAGGTGCTTTTTCATGCTTTTGACAGGATTATTTGATTTTGAAAAGAAATAATCCCAAAAAAAAAAGAAAGAAAAACAAAACAAAACAAAACTACTAACCAGATAACTTATGGTCACGTGCATCGGTGATTCTGGACTTTTTGGCCCAGTACTTGATGATGGCAATCAGAGGAGTGACCCTGTGATCTAGGCTACCATAACATTTCTGCAGATAGGTGTTGAATATGGAATTCGGTATGTCAACGCTGATGTCTCCTTCCAGTCGCTCGCGCCAGTCATTCATCTTTAATATAGGGACAACTGCTCCACTGATAAGCTAAGGAGAGAGAGCATGGGATAGCTTATCTTTAACTATCGTAGAAGGCTATTAAAATGTTGTCCTGAAATTATGTTCCTAAACTCAAAATCACGATCACCGACGTTAAAACAGTGAAAAAGTGATCTCATGAAATACCTAAGGCGCAGTTTAAACATACCAAACCTAATCCCTCGGCTTCGATTAAGTACATGAAGAGATCGACGTTTGAATGCGACTGTCTAATTATTTGAGTCGACCCGTGAATTAAGATCGAGTGGTCAACATGGGAATTTCGACTGCTGAGGAGCGACTTCGTTTCAAACATCGAACTTCTCTTGTGCCAAACCTAACGCATGAATTACTCAAAAATTTCTTTTTACTTGTAAGCATCTGAAACCATCGAACATCGTGAAACAGAATGAATTGAGAACTAAATAATAAGTTCGACATCTGAATCAACTGATCATGAGGAACTTGTTTTATTTCGGTCGACCGAAAATACATCTGTAGGTATCAATTTCGGCACATGAAAAGATCGACGTTTGAACTATGAAGTGGGCACAAGTCTCTTTAACTTGCAATGATGTCATGTTTAAGTGTCACAAATTCAGTATGCCCAGGCACGTTTGCCAAATTGAATTTGCCTTTAAAGCAAGTTTGTTAAACATGTTAAGATCTATTCACAGGGTCCTCTAAACTGATTATAACACTGTTTTTAATGAATAATATAAGTTAATATAAAACACTTATTTAAGGAAATTGCCAATTGGAAAATAATCTTCCCGGCTTTTAGGTTGCAAGCACCCCTTTCATTTCCCACCCATTCCAGTTGGTACTCTAAATGTATACGTAGCTTATTAGTTCAGTGATTCGATAACTTTTATACAGGAATTCGGGAGTCTTCGCACCCCATCCAGGGCTCAGTAGTAGTACTAAATTAACTCAAGTTCAGCACTGACACCCAGCGGAAGTGCCAAAAACTTTTTCAATCGCTGTGAATATTCTATTTAAGGAGAATAACTTATTTGAACGTACCGTAGATTTTTCTCAAAGTAAATCAAAATAAAAGGCTCGTGTATTTTTAACAGTGCACAGGGATTTTTGTTCAGAATCCTTTACAAGCTATACCTCCATACATTGAAACGTAGAATCAACGCGAATTCGTTTTAGGGCGACGAAACAGAAATCGATTCTATGCCTGTTCGATTGTTCGCGTATACTTTGGCAAATATTACTTGATTTTTTCAAATAATGATAATAATAAAAAAAACACTCGGTTTTGTCAAGTAATATCTAGGGAATTTGTTTGAGGGAATAGATTGTAATAATTTCGTGACCCATAACACTGTAAATCATGCTGACAAATGGTAAATGCTGGAAACATTTCGCATGATTTTAGTTTTAAGTATTTATATTTTTCTCACAGCTACTCATTAGACAATCATAGCTTAAGCAGTGATCGAAAAGCTGTTCTGACGACAGCGTTTGTCAGGTCTTGTTGTCACCGGTTCGAACGTGAAATTAAAATAAAATATACCTCCGTTTTAACGCTGCTCCTTCTTGTCGCCAATCTGTCTCGAATTTTTCGAAGGACCTCAACGTCCGAATCCAACCTGTAAAACACTTGCCTTCCGCCTTGGCGAACGAGAGTCAAATCAACATCGCAGCCTTCGATTGCAAATCCACTTGCCGAGGATCCTACAAGAACCAAGCGAGATGACGGGTAGAGTTCTTTAATGGCGCATTCTAAACTTTCGCACCATGCTTTCTTCTTCCTCGACGTTTGGTCACTTTCTTTGACAGAATGATACTTCAGGTTTATTTCTTGGGTCAGTGTTTCGCGTGAGCTCAGAGCAAACATTTTGCTCTCAACGATAGAGATTCTCAGAAACAGGTAACTATTTCCGGGTATGTGAGACTAACGGTGTGTGTCGGGGGAGGGGTGGTGACATTAAGTCTAAAATGTACTGGGAGGAAGAGGTTTGGCTTTAACTTAATTGGCCTTTTTCAAATAGTAATGACAACTTGGTTCAGAAATAAAATAATAATAATAACGATGGGCGGCAAAAATGAGTTGATGAGGATAAAATTAATGTCTTCATCCTCACAAAACAAACAATTTCTCCACACTTTGCTCGGATCCAAACAATGTGTAAGAACTGGCTCCCTTTAAAGCATCAAAATTTGCCCTCTTTCTTTTCTTAATTCTTAGTGGCACTTCAACGGTGACTATTTCCTCGTTTTTTAAACGTTGTTCAACCTCGATCGTCCTCAGTGTCTTTTCGTTTACGCGGCCATATTGGAAAACGAGAAGATCCTGGGGACGAACCAGTGCTTAAGCATCAATACGAGGCTTTGTGCCATTTCAACATGGCTGTCTATCCATGAACCAGTCTTTGTCTAGTTTGTGATGGATTTTGAGTTTAAGTTGAAATCAAATGAGCAAAGAGAAAGAGTAGAAGACAAATTCGACTTTGAAGGCTGCAAAGTAGGCCGTGGTACTTATGGACACGTTTACAAAGCAAAACAAAAAGATTGGTTAGTTTTGAAGCGCGAGGAGATAATATTTTCTTTCGTTCCTCGCATTGTTTACATTTTCATGTAGATTCAGTCGATACTAAGTAGTTTTGGTCTCTCTCTCATTCAAGTCCGAATGGAAAATATTTCGCCCTCAAGCAGATCGAGGGAACAGGGATTTCCATGTCAGCTTGCCGTGAGATAGCAGTATGTACAAAATTCATTGTAAAATTAGCTCATTTAAGACTTAATTAAGCCTCATCAAGCCCAAATGCTTGATTTGTTTGAAAAGGATTTCATGGTACTTCTCTGGAAACAGAACATTTTGATTGATTGGTATGTGTTTCTCACTCTTTATCTAAAAATATATCTCAAAATTAACAAGATAAGTCACATTGTATTTTTATTTGCATTCTCTGCACATGTTGTGCATTAAACTTACTTAAAGTCCATAAATAAGTGCAACCTATAAGTTGTTATATGAAAATTGATGGATCACACTGCCTTAGTAATTTAACTGAACTCCTTTCATATTCACAGTGCTCAGTCTCCTACGGCTTTGTGGGGCTATTTTTTGGGTGGCTACTCATGCAATGTTCCTCTCCACAAAATTAACAGATTCCAAGAGACAACACAAAGAACCTGTAGCTGCATAGAGGAGTCCTAATTTAATTAGAGTGATTTAACATTTGAAAGAATATTTGAAAAATACAAGAAATCTACCTACTGTATATCTTGTTTAGGCAGCTTTATATATCTGATTAACATGGATTTAATATTCAAGCCACGGTGTACAGAAACTCGCAGGTTCTAAAGTTAAAAGCAAAATTAATATAGGCAAGAGTGGAGATACCTTTTTATTATTTATTTCTGATGAAGAAATCAAGATCCGGAAAAAAAGTGCTCAAATTTTGACGTTACTTAGTAGTAAAACATAAAATAAGTAAGTTTAAGAAGATCGAAGATGCTCTCGACTTCGTAGGATTACACTAACGGAATGTTGCTGTCTTCCTATCACATGCAGATCGCAAAGTCTGGCTCTTGTTTGATTTTGCAGAGCATGATCTATGGGTGAGTTGAACATTTAAAAATATCATGTTAGGTACGTAGAAACCTCCTTGCTGGTGTCCTCTTATTGGCTTTTGTTACTTTTAGGGGACTGTCACTTTACAGAAAGAAAAAATACAGACTGAATGCATGATCAAAATGACAAGTTTACAAAACATGACAAATGTATACACCAGATGTGGAACGTACTTGTAGAACAAGAGAAAAATAATGTTTTTTAGTTATTTTCTGTATTATTCTCACTTGAATCTACAGTAAATTATCTGAAATAATAATAAAAATAAAAAGATTACAAAATTAATGTTCTAACAAAATTAATGGCCCAAGAAAGAAACTAAGAAGGTTTTTTTACTAAGAATTTTTTTTCTGTATGAGGGAAGGTGCCTCGTCAAGGTTAGATTTGTACAAGACATTTCCATTTCGAGTCCTTGTAGATTTGAGATGTGTACATGCAAATCTAAGCAAAAATCATTAATATTATCAAACTAAATTTACTCTGCCAATCTTGTTGTGTAGGAAACAATTATCTAATTTAAAGTTAAAGCCCACAGTCCTTCTCTGATTTGAAAAGAGGTGAGGAGAAACAACCTTACAGTGATCTGGCCAGACCTAAGTCATGTGACATGATCAACCTATCATGAATGTTCAAGGCTCTAGCAAAACTTAAGAATTTTCTCTCTGCCAGTGTCGTGACACAAATCTTATGATTAAGTGTAATTAAACTAACTTTGTTTTCTTAGCATGAGGATAAAAAAATACACTGTAAATGTAAAGGCAAAATTTGGTGTGGAAAGTATTTGTGTCAACAATTTCCAAATATTTAACAATTATTCCATGAGTGCACCTTGGGTACATGAGATGGTAGATAGCCAATGAGGTGCTTAAAGCAGAGTTGGCTATAATCATCTCATATCCAACAGGCGTATTTTTTTATTAAAAATGCCCACAAAATATAGAGAATTCTTCCCGACTTTATTTGAAAAAACAACCGATTTTCAGCTTGTTTTTGACTTTGAGCAGATGCGTACAGTTACCATATTTGGAGAGCATGGTATGATGGCTCAAATACGATGATCGCTAAGCCAATCCGAGCACTAGAATTGCATTATCCAATGATTCAGTTTTAATAATTACAAATATTATCAATATTTATACTTAAATATTTTTTCTAGCATATAATCAAGTACCACAGAGCCTCCAAGGCACAGAAGAAGGCAGTTCCTGTCCCTAAAGGAATGGTGAAATCTCTACTTTATCAAATTTTAGATGGGATTCATTATCTTCACTCTAACTGGGTACTTCATAGAGACTTGGTAGGTTGCTTTGTTTGTGTATG